GAAGTGGGAGCTTCCTGATTGCTGGTTGTTTGGCACGTGGATATACTTCAAAACAACTAGCTGTATCATAAATATGGCCTGGTCATGTAATAATGAAAGGAATAAAGAGAGAGAAAAACAGGCTTATGTAATAAGGGGTACAGAGAAGATGACTGGAATAAAGATCAAAGGTACTCATTAGCTTATGGAATTAAGTTTAGGAAACTCTTTCAATTACAGTTTCTCTGAGTGACAACACTCCAGAAAACAACTAAATAAGTTTTCTCTGTTTTCAAAATTTGAGATTACTTTTGAACAAGGAAGAAAGATGCAAAGATTCCTATTCATTGTCAATGAACTTGGTATACCTGACAGACATCCAATATTTCTGAATGGTCAATACCCACAAAGGAAATGAAAACACAGAAAGCACATCTAATTCAGCAGTGGAATTAAAAACCAAACCTAAGGGAGCAGTCTCCAAAAATCATTTTATTAAAACCAACTAAACAAAAAAAGCAAAACAAACCACAAAACAAAAACAATCAATAATGAAGCAAGCCAAGCATTTAAACTGTAACTACTTTCTCTGCAGATCCATGTGTCCACATAAAAGACATTTTAAAAAGGAATGCATAGTAGTTTCATAGCATTTAAATAAGATATGAGCAAAAGAGCTCAATTACAGTAACTTAGCTTCTTACCTGTCTAGATTTAGCCAATAGCTTCTTCTCACTTGGCTTTTTAGATGCATCACAAGACTTCCTGTTCACTAAAGGCACTCCATATTTTGCAGCAGGTTTGGTAATTTTCTGAGCTGGTGCAATTGAAGTCAGTATTTGTTCTTGAGCTGGTCTTTTAGCTAAAAAAAATAAAAATAAAAAATAAACATAGTCTACAGGCTGGCCAGTGTACCATATTTCCCTTTCCTAAGGTCCTGAAAAAGCAAAGCTGTGGGAAAACGGGCGAACTGCTAACATTTCATTCACGGGAGCTGATGCCGAAGAGCAGTATCATCCCCACATGTCCAAAACAGCTCATCTAATTCTCATGCTTGATAAGAAATAGCAGAACACAATCCCTGAGCTTCTCACACTCAACATTTCACTTTAAACTGGAGAAATAGAACGTAATTCAGCTGCCATGCTTTATTACCCAGTTGTCATGGACCCAGGGAAAAGTTTGCCTAATAGAATGGAGAGACAAGCCTCCCTCCACTAATGACACTGGACTGCAACTTGCAACACTAATGGCAGCAGATGAATCCTGGAAGAGCTTCAGTGGCCTTCAGGGATTTTGCTTTCCCTGTAGAGTTTCTGAAAATATGCCAATATCGTGGATTTGATTCTGTTCCAGCAAGGCTCTGCTACAACAGATTATCAAGGCAGCAGTTAACATTATCCAAAGACACCAAAGCACTTGTTACAGGAAATAAAGGGGAAGAAAATCTGGGTTAAAAAAAGGGTAAAATAATGCAGGAAAATGAAGCAAAGGAAGACCATCTTGACAACATGAACCACGAACTTGCTACGAGTAGTAGAATTTCTACTGCTTTGGACTGAAGTCAGGACTTAATTTGGAATCTCTAACAAGACTTCCCACATTTTTGCATGAAATGGTATTTCTTATTCCTGATGTCATTAGTAAAGGAAAAAAAAAAAGTACAGTAACATATTGTCCTGGTTTGAGCCAGGATGAAGCCAATTTTTCTTTTTACTGATTTTTTTTCCTTCAGTAAGCTTTCTTGTAGCTAGCAACAGTGTGTTCTGCTAGGCTGATAAGACAGTGGAATGTTTTTCTAACTACTGAGGCTTCAAGGCTGCACCTGCACTCTGCCAGCTCAGACACTATGGGGAGATCTGTGACCCCCCCGTAGGAGGCTGAGTTAGATGGACAGCAAAATTGGCCAAGGATATTCCATTCCATATATCAACGTAAGCTCAGAGGAAGGTCAGAGATCACAGAAGACAACTTCCTTTCTTCTTTTTCTTCCCTTCTCTTCCGTCCATGGCCGGCGTCCAGGGAGGACTCTGTTCATCCATCACCGTCGATCCTCAGGATTGATCTCTTGTGACCCCCATAACTCTCTGCTTTCTCCAGCAGCAGCTCCGGGATTCCTCGGGACTCTTCCCAGTTCAGGGAAGTGCTGTGGGAGTTGCTGGGGTGGGGGAAGGCGAGAGGTTTTTGCCCATTCCTGAATATATTTGTATATAATTGTATATATTTTCTTGTATCATTCATTAGTGTTTTAATTAAAGCTGTGTAGTTTAGTTTTCAATCCAGTCAAGTCTCTCTCTTTTTCTCTCTCTCCTTCCCTACCTGGGTGGGAGGGGGAGGGGATCGAGAGCATTGTTGTCGGACCTGAGTCAAACGGTGACACATATACATTACTTCCAGTATCAAAGTCTCCTTAAATTTTGGAAGTGTAGCATACTACAAGAGAAAAAAGTACACCTAAAGTATTACAGGACACTAGTTTATACTTGAACCTTTTGCATTCTTATTACCCAGCTCCCTGGGACAGATGGGTCCCTTTTTTCTGAAATTTCTAGAATCAGGTATAACAATATGCCAAAATTAGCACAATTTAAAAAGCTACATACATTATCTTGCCAGAGCTGAAAGCAAAGGCACTATACACACTTACCGGGTGCAGCATGGGATCCAATCTTCTGGAAGATCTTGTGATTGAATTCTTCTGCAATAAGCTAAACAAAAAGCTGAACAGTTAGCCAACAGCATTTACATCTCAAGCTAGAAAGAACTCCTCAGAGAGGTGTGCCACTTGCAGTAAGCATCTAACTAATAGTATTTACCGTAACTTAAATTTAAATGAATACTCAACTTTATGCATTCTATTTACTATCACTAATATTATTATGAAACTGGATTCACTATTTTCAGATATTCTGGAAATAACTACTCAAATTATTTTAAAAAAGACATTTAGTCTGGGTCGCACGTGTTACCTCATTAATGACATAGCTATGATTTCTGTATAGCTCCCAAATTTCACTTCAAATTCTCAGACAACTTGTGTAAAAAAAAAAATCCTTTAGAAATGTTTGCTGTGTTTAGTTTCTCTGTCCTTTTTAAAATGGGAAGATGACTACATATATGAATATCTAGGTACAACATCTACAATGTGCTGTCAGGCATATCAAATTAGCACAATAAAATGGGTGAAACAGCCTTACTGGAGTAAAAAATTGGATTCCAGAGAAAGAACACTGAAACATGAATAGGCCATTATCTCACATCACATTGAATCCTGTATGTAGTTTTGAACCCAACACCTCAAAAACATGTAGCAGAAATGAAAAAGGTTCAAAAAAGAACAGCAAGGATAATTAAAAGCGTAGAGAAGCTCAAATAAAAAGAATAAAGAAGCTTGCTCTTTAGCCTATAAAAAGATGACTGAGATGTAAATGACAGGTCTAGAATACCACGTGATTTTACAGAGAAAGCACAGAAAGACACAAGGGCAGCAAATGATAATACCAGTGTTAAGTGGGGTACAAATGAATACAGAGGAAGGTTTCTGCAACAAGTAACAGACCTGTGAAAGTTCTTAAATATCATAAAAATGTACACAGGCTCCAGGAGAAATCAGATAAGCTCACAGATGAGATATCTATTGAGGACTACTAAACTTGCAACATCCTGCTCTCAAACGTCTTGCTGAATCTAAATGCCACAACTGGTGCTACCCCATACAGCATATTCAAAGGATGGGAACTGCAACGGTATTTTTAACACCAGTAGACCTACTTGAAGACAGACAATGGCCAAAGTACAGACCACCTTTCTACAGAGGGAGAATGTCAGGAATGTGTTACTTAATGATCTGATAAAAATTAACAGCAATTTTAACAAAACAGTTGCTAAACTACAAGGTTTTAAGGAACAGTGTTTATTAGAATCTTGAACCAGGCACATGATTTTTACTTGCTTAGAGGCTACCTGTCAGTTGTAATGGATGCTGAGGAGTTAAAATGGAAAAAACCCAACAACCAAGAACCACAGTGCAGAACTTAGTCTGCACACAATGGCTGAGAAACTTTTCAACTTGTACAGTCAGTTCATCATCAAAAGATTCTGTAAGCAAGAAGTCACACATGAGAACAGTCTCCTAATAATGGTATCGCAGTGATCTTCAAGCTTTTATTTGGGTGGCAAGTTGTAACAACTCAAGTGTGATGCTTCCATAATTACACAACTACTGATAGAAAAGAAACACAACTCTGCAGTACCTTTCAAGAGCCCTCTTTTTTTTTTTTTTTTTTAAAGAATTATGCCAATTCAGATCCACTCTTTATTGCAACTTACTAACTATGAAAACTACGAAAAAATGTATAGAAAACTGGAAGAATGATTCTCTGTAATTTAAGAGCAGTATTTCAGCAACAGTAGCAGCATGTTGAAGATGTCAACTATGGAAGGTCTCTGAAGCTTAGACTAAGGAAAGCAAATGACAACAGAATTAACCATGGATGAAATTGAAAGAAAATAGGCATAACAGCTGTGTCACAGAATGACCACCTCTGGATGAAGACAAATGTACCAGTGACTGATACAATGAGTAAAAGGTGCTTTCTGGGTGTGGGGGTTTTAGTTATTTTAAGATATGTTATATATATATATGTTTAAGACATGTTAGATTCAGTTGGAAAAACGATGTGCAAATTTTCATACTCAATCTAGGAAAAATTAGTACCATCATTTGGTAGCAGTCTATTAGTAATTAACTTCTACTGACATAAAATAAAAATTTCATATCCATTCTAGCTACTGAAAATGAAATCAGATCCAACTGTTACTGCTTTAAAAGTTAGAACAAACTCATCTGTAAAGACTTTAGAATATTACCTTAACTTAGATTTCAGCCTGAACTATTATTAGCTGAAAGTCTATTTCATATATGATTGACATTCCAATGACATATTGCCTTCTTGTGAAACTTTTTTAGTTTTGAGTTAGAATCCAGGAGAATTTTTTGTACTTGGAGAGATGTCCTTTTGCGTTCATTTTCTATGTATCTTTATCTGTATTTATTTACCTCCTACCAGTACTGGCATTCACTTGGCAATCTCAATCTCTTTTCATCAGATTTACGTTCAAAGGACACGCATAGATGTCAAATGATATGAACACAACTGTTTTCCTCAACTGTAAGTGTCTCTATAAAAGCTCTAGGAAATACCACTACTCCAGTTTCTCATGTTGTGCACTAACATTGGAATAAAGAAAAGTACTGTGATATTTTAAGCAAAAAACAAACTGACCCCATACCTGTGGTGTGAGAAATTTTTCAACTCGTTTGGCTATAAAGTTTTTCTCCAATATGGAGTTTACCGATGGTCTATTCCTAGGATTCCTTTTAAATAACTGGGATAAAAGATTACGTAGATCATAGGAGTAATGCATAGAAATGGGAGGAAAAGGTCCAGAAATTATCTTCAGTACCAAGTTCTTCATGTTACCAGCTTCAAACTGTATCACATAAGAAAGAAAAGTTACTACTTATTACTCCTGTCCCCATGTAAGGCTAAATAGAAAGATGAAGAAGACAACAAAAAACCAATACACCTTCCCTTGCCTCAATATACCAAAACAAATGTTCAAAGCCATCAACAGTTTATATCAGTAGTTTAAAATAATCTGCTGCCAAGTATTCAGATTATAAATACATCATAATACAGATAGTTCATACCCCAGAGATATAAATTTGGCTAACAAATAATTTCCCTCTAGATCCAGAGTAACAATGACAAATAATTAAGGATAAAATAATGATATGCTTGATCTCCTCTCCCAAACACTTTCAACCATCACAGCCTTTTGCCCCTTTTTATTGAATTTAAATTGCAACTAAAAGAAGGAAAAGCATTCACAC